AAGCACAAGGACTGTAATCCCCAGCATGCTGAGTGTCTGGGGAAGGCACATGGGATGAAGGGGCCTGCTGGCAGACACTTTGTAACCAATAAAAACACAGCAAGCTGGGTGAAAAGAGTAACTGGAAAAGTGACTCAACTACTTCCTTAACACATGGTCACCTGTTCTTCATCCCCACATCTTCTCAGCACATTACAGTCCTAGTGGATGGACCATGCTGTGCTCTGATGTCTGCCTTTCGAATGGCTTTGCTCTATCTTCATGTCTCTAACTATAACTGCTTCTGACAGCCCAGTGGATGGGTGCATCATACTCAAATGGCCCCAATTCTCCATGATGGAAGGTTTGAAACAAGGGGGGAAACATGCTTTTTGAAGATGACAAAATGTCACACAACAGTGTTTGCATTTGTAGACAAGTAAGCAATTGCACAGACTTCCCACAGTACACATGAGGTTAACACTAGCATTTTAACACTCTGCCTCCTAGACCCAAACACTTTCATTAAATTATCATACTATAAACAGAAAAGATCCCTGGAGGCCTGGCCGCCATGGCTCAGTGGTGGAGCATTGACCTGGGAGCCAGGAGGTCATAGGTTTTGGTTCCCAGCCAGGCCATATGCCTGGGTTGTGGGTTCTATTCCCAGTGTGGGGCATGCAAGAAGTAGCCCATCACTGATTCTCTGTCATCATTGAAGTTTTTATGTCTCTCTGCCTTTCCCTTCCTCTCTGAAATCAATAAAAATATATTAAAAAGTCAGACAGAAAGAAAAAAGATCCCCAGACAGAGTGTACAGAATTCCAGAATAGTAAGGGACTGGAGTGTGGGGCGAGATGCCCACTGTTCTCAATTGCCCTTTGCATCTTACAGGGCGCTAATGCCCACACAGGGCCAGCACAGAAGAAACCCCCCAAGCAGGACCCCAAAGCAATGTTCAAGAAATCCACGTTCAGTGAGGGTCAACTAGGTGACTGGGCCCTATCCACAGTACCTCACACTTCTGACTGCAAATCTCCAGGCATTCACTTTACCCAGACATCACTCATTAGATGAAAGAGTGCTTTGGATTAGCGGGGATTTAGTTAATTGACATGACTTTATGAGAAAAGAAAACAGCTAGTCTGCCTAGAAGAAGGAATTGGTCCACACTTCTTAGTAAGCTGCCAACCCTTGTGCTGGGTACCAGAAAGGCACTGGGGAATTGCCCTGGGGAATGGCACCTGTGCCATTTCCACTGCATCCCTACTGCTTAGCAGATGGCATCTCAAACTTCTGAGATGTACACTCAGTTCATCTCAAAGCTTCCTTGTTCATGTGTCAAATGAGGATGGATTAGAACATGAAGCATTAGCACCTGCCACATAGCAATGGTCACTAAATGTTAGCTATTCTTTTTAAAAATATATATTTTATTGATTTTTTACAAAGAGGAAATGAGAGGGTTAGTCAGAAACATCGATGAGAGAGAAACATTGATCAGCTGCCTCCTGAACACCCCCCACTGGGAATGTGCCCGCAACCAAGGTACATACCCTTGACCAGAATCAAACTTGGGACCCTTCAGTCCGCAGGCCAGTGCTCTATCCATTGAGCCAAATCAGTTTTGGCAAATGCTAGCTATTCTTACCATTAATGGGAAGAAGTATATAGACTCGATGTAGTGAATGCCCTTTACTCTGCCATGGGCAAAAAAGGACTCAGCCTCGTGTTCACTGTGCCCTTAGGGTCCACTCCATTGCTCAGAACTCTCAGCCCTACCAGCCTCTCCAGAAGATGATGAGTCATTTTTGGTGTGTGACACAGTCTTGCTTGAGGTTGGGTACTGAGTCATGATTATGTCTGTTCATTTGGCAATGTGGAACTTATTTTAGGTTAAAATAAAAATCAGTTTAAGTCTGCAGATTTCTTGTGACAACAGAAGAAACTTAAGTAATAATTTAAAAAAAATAGTTAGCTTTAGAAATACTCTTCCCTAATGGGTGGGGTTAGGGAGTCAGGAATATAGATGGGGTTGTTTTTTTTAATAGGTTATATAATGCAAATTCCATTGGGAATCAAAAGCATTTCACCACTTTGGAATCAAGGGTTACATCACTTCAGCCACTCTCACTGTATTTTAGAGTGGTTGCTGTCACTGTAAAAAAGGCTTTTTCTGAGAAAGCTCCCTCCAGAGCACCATGGCCTGGAAAGCAAGTAGATTGAGATCTTGTAAAGCTAAGCTTAAATCCTGCCACTGACATTTCAAAGCCGCATAACCTTCGCTAAGTCGGTTACCTCATTGTGGGTCTTTGTCCCCACCTCCAAAATGAAGACACACGTGTCTTGGAGCCATGTAATTAGGCCTGGAGATAAGACCTTTACAACTCCTAATATATACAATATGCCAATTCACAGAAGCTATAGTCACTTCAACATAAAATTTCACCTTAACTTCACATCTGATCAGAACATTACCAGGAAAAGAAGGCATGAGTGTGCTCTTTTGGATTTACAGCTATGAGCAAAATCCTTCTATCTCAGAGGAAATCCAACACTAATCTCACTTAGAATGAAGATAAAGTGGTGAAATGGTGGGCAGCCCAAAACATCTCTGGGAATAACCAACCTATTCTACTCTAAGGGTCTGTAAATCTGCCGCTGCCAAAATCGGACCCTCTGAGCATGTCTTCCGAGAGCTTTCTCGGAAAGAAATGCTCCCAGACACTCAGGCAAATCCAAGATGGACTCAAAATAGGACATCTGGTGTTTTGCATGAAGTCCAAGAAAAAATAGCCAACAGCCAACTGCCTGGAAGAGGGAGGGAGGGCATACAAGTGGCCACGGTTGGTTGTCAGGAATGTAGGGCAGCCCAGATATGCCAGGTGTGAGCATCAGGACATCAAAGAGGATACTACCCACTGAGGTGAGAATTGCCATTTCCTACTAACCTGACAGGACATCAACCAAACAGCCTTCTCTTAGAATTTTTGTTTTCAGAGTATACTTTTCATGGAGAAAAGGTGTGGACTAACTGAAATAATAATTTTATGACTGTTCACAGGTAGCAGGGCCAGAATGAGTAACGGGGGGGGGGGGGGGGGGGGGGGGGGGGGATGCTGATTCTGTCTGTTGCACCATTATCCTGAGTGCCCACATGCCAACAACCCGGTAGCTAAGCTAATATTTGGACAAGGATTCAAAAAAATGACATATGTATATATATATATTTTTCAACAAGGTTATAAAATAACCTTGAAACGCTGACCTTGAAGCCTGGAGGCCTAAGGCCTGTTCCCCTTCCTGTGCCAACGTTTTGTGCTCTTTGGAGGGGCAGGATGCCATTCATTTAAGATGCTTCCTCATTTGTGCCAGCATCTGCAGACACACGTGCTTTTGATAGGGCCCCACCCGACCCCCACCTGGCACATTTCCTGGTGTTCATGTAAGTAACAACGTGGGCGATGTCCTCGATTTCACTCTACCATTTCCTCCATCCCAGCCTCTGCTCTATCACAACATCTTCTTTCTTTGGAATGTTGATAACCTGAGTCATTTTCCTAGGATATCAAATCAGAACAGTTCGGCTTCCCTGGGAGGCAAAGGCGTGGGCCTGTCGGGCGGGGGCGATTACCAACGCTGCGGCAGACACTTTCAGGAGGACTGGGAGGGCCTGGCCTGGGACAGACGCTCTGGGGATGCTGCGGGCCAGGTGCCTAGGGCCCAGGGCGCAGGGCACAGGGACGGCGACTGGCCAAGCATCACGTACGCGCGCGCCAAGGGCGCCAACCAGCGGCACCCGAGCCAGCCACGCCCGGCTCAAGGGCAAAGGGAAGGACGCAGAGAGGGTGGGCACAGGCTAGGACGCGAGAACCCTCACCCAAGCCTCCATCCTCTTTGTGTGTGGCCTCCAAACAGGTGGAGACTAGGCCGCAGGGTCTTTAACATAATCTTGGGGGGCCTGGCGAGGAAGGGGGGAAAAAAACCAAACACCGGCTACCAGACGCGTCTCCGCCTGCGTGGTCCCTCAGGCTCCAGGTCCGCATCCGCCTGGAAAACGCCCATCCACTTCCTAGCGGTTGGCCTAGATAGGAAACCCCACTCCCCGGGAACCCCTGCGTCCCCATGTGCACCCAGCGCGACAGATAGCCGGGGCGTGGCCCGTGGCCATCCTTCCCCCATTAGATTGAAATGTTTTTTTGGTGCGTCCGCGGGCCTCGAGCTCCTGTCCGCATCTCCCCGAAATCCGCCTCCACGCTCGTGGCGGGGTGCCCAGAGTCCGCGCTCGGGGCTGGTGACGTCGTCCCGGAGTCCCCGCTTCCTAGTCCTTCCCCCCAAAGAGAGGCTGGCGGGGAGGCCTAGTGACTCGTTTTAGTTTTCGGTTTGGTCACGAGCCGGAAGGGGAAAGAAGATTTAGAGCAGCTGAAACCCCTTTTTAAAAAAAATCTCCAGTGTAGATATACAGTGTGCCGGACGCATGGCAATCCAGGTCGGGGACCCCCCACCCCACGCTCCCCCCAGCCGCGCCCCGAAATCAGCAGCGGGGACTCCGCCCGCGCCGTGCAGGGGCGTGAGTGCTCCGGACGCGCCGCGGGGACCCGCTGTTCCCTGCACAGCGCGGGGCGGGAGCCCTGGCATCGGCGGCGGCCGCGCCGTCACCCACCTTCAGGGGGCCTCCGGGCCCATCCTAAGAGTCGGATTTAAGATGAACTACAAGGACGGTCCAGACGACCCCGTCGCCCAGCCTCAATTTTTTAAAATAACGTGGAGGTGGAAAATTCATTGATCTTCCGGTTGAAGGCTTGGGCTGCCATCCCTCCCCTTCTCGCCCCGCTGGGATTCGGAGGCTGCACGGACCCTGTGGTTGCCGGGCACTGGGCTGCTCTGCTCTCTCACATCTCTTCTTCTCCCCGTACCCCTGCCGCTGGCCCGGGGTCCCCACAGGTTCCTCCTGGTCCCTCCATCCCTTCTCTCCAATGCCCCCTCCCCCCCCCCCCCCCCCCGGGGAGGTGGGAGCGCACCTTGGGCATCCCCGCCGCTGGTCAGCACGCCGATGGCTTTGCCGGTTCCGGAGAGATTCTCCAGGAAGGAGACTTTGGGGGCCTTGGAGTCGCCGCCGCGGTCCATGGCGAACAGATCGGAGACCACGCTGGGCCGGGTGCTAGGCAGCCAGTGCACCCCGCCCGCGGTGCCACCGCTCAGAACCGCTCGCCACGCCCACTCCGCGCGCGCCAATCGGAAGCGAGGGGCGGGCACAGGGGCGGGGCCTGCGGAGGAGGCGCCGCGGAGAGGGGCGTGCGGCTCTGCAGGGCGCTTTGCGGACGGGGCGGGGCGCGCCCTTGGTTACAGGCTCCGGAGGTGCGGGAGCCTCGCAGGCGGAAAGAGCCCAGGTGTGTGAGGGCGGACCTTTCAACACCCGGAGCATCGCATCTGGGAGGAGCCTCCTAGGTAGGCGGGATCATTCCAATTGTGAGAGCCTGGCAGGTGGATAGGAGCTCCACACTACAGGTTCGCAGCCGGTGGGCGGGACATCACGAGCGGGGTGGAGCATCGCAGGTTGGGGGCGTTGGTAACACCGCCAGTGGGAGGAGCAGGCAGGTGGGAGGTGGGAGGCGAGGGGCGGGGGGTCGTGGACCGCTGCAGGTGAGCGAAGCACCTCATTTGAGGGGAGCCCCGCTGGTGGGTGGGATTAGCGTACAAAAAGGAAAGAATTCCAGCTGAGGCACGCACCCTTATCCCTGCAGGATTCCTCGCCAGGTGGCGCACGGAGCCACGGGAACCTTCGCGGTTCTTCGACTGCCCCAGTTTTCCTCTCCAGCCTCAGGTCAAGAGGAAGGAATCAGAACGGATGCTCTACCTATCAATAGTTGGTGAGCAAACGTAGGCATCGCTGCCGGCGATGACAAAGTCCTGACCCCTGTCACCCCAAGGGTCCTGTCGCACCCTAACCCGCCTACCTGCACGGGGGACAAGAAGGATCATGACTGGAGAGGGGACCTTAGCGCCGAGCTTGGGTAGGAGGAAGGCAGGAAAGGCTGGCTGTGGAGATTAGACCTACATTCCTACCTCAGGAAACAGAGTTCCTGAGATGTCAGCCAGATGCGCTCAGCCCTGCTGGGAGCTCCAGATCTAAGATACTTGCATCCAGTGATGAACAAGCTGACTCTTTGCGGAGATTAACCTCCTGCCAGTTACCTGCGGCTGACACCCAGAAGGACCCCTTAGGGGCTTGGCCTCAGGAGACACCATACTGGGATACAGTGACCCCAAGTTTCATGAGGTCCCATTCATCTGCAGGTCACAGTGGAGATGGCACAGCACCTGAGCCTGCGAGATGCTCAATAAGTGTTTGTTGAATGGATACAAGAGGGAAAGAGATTAAGAAAGGCCCTCTGTCCACCTAGAGAATCCTGTGATAGCAACACAACCAAACTATTTGCTATAGGGCCACTCCAGACAGAAAGGGAGTGGGGTGCTCAGACTTAGGTTGGATACTTGTGTAAATACGCTCCACCTCATCTTCCCACTCATGTCTCTGAGCATCAAAATTTTATTGTAAAAGAGGGGAAAAAAATGCCTGCCATGGACAAGCCTGAAGTCTGATCTCTGCTGTAGGCCAGGATTAATGGAGAAATCCTGAACCCCTATGATTATGGAAATCACCTGGCCTATTTTTTTTTCTGGCTCGACCAGAAGCACCAAAGTCCAGTTTCCTGGCATGCTGCCAGGGAATATGTATTTTTAACAAGCTCCCAGCTGTTCTGATGATTGCAGAGTCTGAGAGCAACTGGCTGATGGATTGAGCTCAGCAGGCTCAGTGATGCTGAAAGGAACACTGGGTGTTTTGACGTTGGCACACAGGTGGTCTTTACTCTCCAAGGACAGGAGGCTCTAAGCACCTCCACGTAGAGGTCTCCAGTGCCCGCAGCCCAGAATTTGTGCTCTAGAATCATGTATGCCTTTCTAGAGCATACTACATTTGGAAAAGTTGGTGTACACTGAATTTTATCTTCTTAAAATGCCTGTTTTTGTAATTTAGAGGACTGGTCATTTGTCATAGAATTGTCTGTAATTTAGAATATGATAGATATGTTCAAACAGGACAGTAAATGATGCAAATTATGATAAAAATACACACAGTTTTCAATTGCTGTTTCACTTATAAGGGTAAATAACTATTGACTTGAAGAAACATTCAGGAAAGGTTAATAAGAGGCAAGGTAAGAAATAAGAGGTCTGTGTGTGTGCATTTTTGTGTGTGTATATATGTGTAAATAAATCTAGACATTTTAATTTCCTTTCTTTTGCTTGTTACAAGAATTGATTTTTTCCTCCAGTGAGCTAGTATTGTTTTGGTATAAAAATATTACAGTTAAATAAAAGTGATAGATCCTCCTTTCCTCCAACTGATGGACGGATGTAAATTCCACCTGTAGCTGGACATTCCTGAGCACTGAACCACCAATCAGCACCTGCCAAATACCCTAAGCCCCCGATTCCTAAGTCCCTAGGTCCCTAATCATAGGCCTTACATGAAACCACCAATCAGCGTGTGCTGAGTGCCCTTAGCCCCATCCCCTCTCTTTTCTCCCATAAAAAGGTGCATGAACCCAGGCCCTCATACTCTTTCTCAGGAAGGCAGCCAGCAGTGGTACTCTTCTCTTCAATAAAGCCTGTGTCCTGGCATCCTGGTCTCCGGCCCACTCTGTTTCATCTTTCAAAAAACAATAAAGTTTAGAGTTGTCAGACCCCCAAAGTTATGCCTGTTTTTACAAAAGATTTTTTTTTTAAAGCTAATCACACAGACTTGTGGTTCAGATAGGAAATATGTCATTCTGCCCAACTAAGCTCATGAGCTCAGTTATTCAGGGAATAATATACAGGGATCTCAGCTAACATGGAAAGACAGAGCCATTTCTCTTTCCTTCTTCTTTTGCAATGCATGTATTTTAATAGTTCAACTGGAGGTATTTTAACTTTGGCCTTCCAAGATACCAGAGAGCAGAACTGCATGCCCGGTTACTGTGCAGCTCACCTCAGTAGGACATGATGCACCTTAATTCTCTACTGCTGCCTCACAAATTCCTGCAAACTTGTGTGGCTTATGCCAGCCCACACATATCACAGGAACAGTCACTCCAGGGATCAGGAGTTCAGGTGGGCTTCCTTGGACCCTCTGCTCAGGGTCTCACAAGTGTCTGTGCCCGGCCTGAAACTCATCGGGGAAGGGAAGGTCTGCCTGCACTCCTGTGCTGTGGGCAGGATTCATCGCCAGGGCTGCTGGACAGAGGGCCTCGGTCCTTCACCAGCTGCAGGCTTAAACTCTGTCTCTCATCTTGGCATTTTCCTTGGTTTCCCATCAGGAGTCAACTTGGAGCAAATCTGCAACCCCAGCTACATTTCCATCCCCCTTTTCCTCCCACTCTCTCTCCTTCTCCCCTAGATTGAGGAAAATACAAGAGTAAATGCGCTACACTGGGACATGCTGCCTTCAGCCCACGCCTCCTGTGCAGTGAGCAGAGACAGCACCAGGGTTCTCACAGGTGTTCTCTCTCCACATTGGTGACGCCCACCTGCTTTTCCTCTCTTCTTCATGGATAACTCTTCTCATTTATTTTTTGATTTGGCAAAGTATCTGTTGGTAGTAAAAAAATAAAATACATTTTTGTTAACACCCCCACACATGCACCAAAATTAATGGCGTGCCTGCTGGGTAAGGGAAAAGATCTAGGATTTTGGTGTGGAGACCTGAGTTTGAACCTAGTTCTGCTGGTCACAAATGGAAAACTCCAGCCAATAACTTCAGCTAGAATATCATTTGAAATGTCTCCTGCTTTCTAGTGTCTTAGTGTTGTGGTCCCCACTTTCTTCATTCTGTGATGATGGTACAGCATAACTTCTTACCTGTTCTGCTTCTACCATCTAGTCTCACATTTGTTATAAAAAACACGTGAGTTTAGACCTGGTGAGGAGGCGAGCAACAGACTGAAGCAGTATTACTGTTAGCAAGGGAGCTAAATTGTTCTGGAAACAATGTAATCAGTCACTAGAAACATGAAAATAATCTGCCAAGCTCTGAGAATGATTGAGGATTCAGTGAAATGCCAATATTCAATACTGTCAACAACTTTAACTAAGCCAGCCTCACAGGGGCTGCAGTCCTAACAGACATGGGGTGGAGGGTCGGCCCTGGGGGTGCCCAGTTGAATTCTCCTGTGAAGAGAATCTGGAAGATTCTAGCTCCAACTCCCCAACTGGACCCGTGGGTCTCACAGCCAGCCCGGAGGCCTGGGAGGAAGAAGTGCCTTCTATGTCCTTGCCTCACTTGACCTTGGCCTCTTTGGCTAAAACACGCTGCTTTCCAAGGCTCCAGACAGGGGAGCGGCACATAGAAACCTTTGTCCCTGGCATCTGGTTCTGGAGCAGGAGGCTCCCCTCTCTTCTCAGGTTGCTTGGCTACGGGTCTTTCTCCAAGCCAATGTTTTGACCGCAGTGGAGGGTTCAGAAACTTTCTTTATAGACTTATTCTCAGATTTGTTTTAAAGTCAAACAAACAAAAAGCTAAAGGACACATCCAAAGGAAGGTGGCTATACTGTGAATAGAAAGTTTAGATGCCAAGGCAGCATGTACACATATGCTAACAGTCTGCATGGCTTATGCATGCAGGCCAGGTTCCACTATGAGCTTCCTAGCACCCATCCCCCGCCTACACATAGGACATGTTAAGATTCTCCATAAGGACCCATTTTTGGTGAATGGGTTTTGCAGAGGTATTTTTTGTTTTTGTTTTTTTTCCCCCCCTTAACTTCTAATGATTTAGAATCATAGAAATAATACAACAGGATCTGTTAGGGGGAGTGTGGGCTTTTCTTGGTGGCAGAGTAATAAGAAACCCATGCATAGATAAGAGGAGGGAGCACAGCGGATGTTGTTGGATTATTTTAAGGGAGTTTTCTAAGTGATAAATGGAGAGCAAGACGGAGAGGGATTAGATAAGGGAGAGTGAGAGAGAGAGAGATGGAAAGAGAGAGGAAGAGAGAGATCATGAGGAATGATTCATGACTTCTGCCCAGAGATCCTGGCCAATCACCCAGATTCTCCCTGATCATTTTGGGGGCACTCTGCTCCAGGGAAGGCAGCTCTTTTTCTAGAATGTGACTGTCTCTGGCTATTCTGCTTCTATTGTTTTTTAAAAAAAT